AAAAAAAAAAAAACAAATACTTCTGTTAACTTATAGTATTTTAGACTGATCAATGTAGAGATACCACCTCTCTTAGAAAGTAAATTAAATGACTCGCAGCCAAAGGCATTGTGACACTGTCTGAAGATCTTAAAGGTTCTTGCAATGGGGTGCTACTGATCCATAGTACGTGAAGAAATGAACCCCCAACATCCTACAGTGCAAATCACATCCTCCTGAAATAATAATAAAAAAAACCCTCCAAAGTCAATGGTATAAAGATTAAGAAATCTTAAAATATTTACCTGATGTCCGTAGCTTTACCTGATATCCACTAATCTGGAATAGTTTTGTTGACATGACCACCGCAAAACTGTTGATGCAGAGGACTCACACTGGTTTCCAGAGAGGAAACAAAACTCTACATTATTCCTCCATTTAATCAAAACATTATTTTTATATGACCTCAGAAATATTTTATATGTTCCTATCATACTAATTTAAATGCAGGGTATCCCTCAATTCACATTTGGAGATCCTGTCAATAAAATGCACATTTCAGAAAGACTAAAATAGATTTTTCTCTCCATCTTTGGGAGAAAGAATCTAGAGCTGCCTCTTGGTAGCATCACAGCAGAAATGAAAACGGGTGATGTTCTGACCCCGACGCTCTGGGCTTTTGAATGGTATGATTATAACATGTGATGTTCACATTGGTTCCTTAATGATATTATGACAGCTAATTGACATAATGGGCTGATAAAAAAATACTTTTTTTTTTTTTGGATCCAAAGCAAGTAATTCAGCTTGGGTATGAAGGGCAATGTTTTCTGTATTCTTTCTTTTTTTTTCCCTTGATATCAAAGAGACAGTAATGAGAAATGGCCTATTCTCCTCTGTCAGGTCATTGATTTCTGAAGTCCTCAAGGGTTTTAATTGGTACTCTTTTTTCATTCTTCTCCAGTGAGCTTTAGTTCACCATATTTTGAAGGCCAGGTATGGGGAAGCACAAATGTCAAAACCTGAACAGTGTTTGATGTATCTTCACTGCATCATGTACATGACACTTCTGAGTGCTGACTTGGCAAGCTTTTCAAAACTGGAAATTTTAAGATTAAACATGCACTGAAGCCTGCTTGGAAAAACAGAGGTATATACGTCATTTTCATCTGCTTATGAAATCATTCTTTTCCTTGCATTCTGACAGAAGCGGCATCCTGAGCATTCCTGGATTTGATTAATGAAATGGATCTTGCTCCAATCAGATGTTTACAAGAAGTAATGGTAAATCCTTTTAAAGGTGACTTTAAGGTCATGGCTGAAATATTAAGTAAGGGGTCGAAGCACAGGACTGAATGCTGTGAAACCTACCTGAGCTCCCTTAGGTGAGATTCCAGATGCTCAGCGAACTTTCTTTGGTCTAAATAAATGATTCCTGTTCAAGCTTGCAAGAGAAGAGTCTATTGGCTTGCCACAAATGTCTGTGTGACTTATGCCAGATTATCACACAGATTCTAGAAGTGTCTAAAAGGATTAGAGGGTTCAGTTTTTTAGAATTACTTGCCAAAGAATCCACTCATCCAATTTATTTCAAGAATAGCTCCTATCCCATTGTTTACTCAGTGGAGGGCCCTTGCAAAAGTAGTAAAATGTAAATATAAATACCACAGCAAGAGATTATAATTTCCCAGTATAGGAATTGAATTTCCACAAATCTCAGACTACAATAAGACATTTTGAGTCAAGAGCTATATTTCTATAAACTACAGAATACATTTATTTAGACTTCTGGGTACTTAGCAATTGATTGAGAATATTTCTAGAATTATAGGACAGAAAGAAACAGTTCTAAAAGGTGTAGACACCTTTCTCATATCATCTAGTCATGAGTTTATAGTACTTATATTGGGTCAAGTTAAAAACAGTCGACTATGAATTGGCCAATATACTTTGGATTATGGAATCAAAATGAACCCAAATATTAACAGATAATATTCTAAAAATAATAATAAAAATATTGAAGACAAAGTTCAACACTACTCTTGCAGAATTCTATTACTTCACCTTGGAAAAGTTATGCTGAGTTTGAATTGTCCTTCCCACAATGTCATATTTTTTCTTCCAGAGGTAGGTTCTACTGTTTAAGGTCAAAAGTTTCCATTAACACATGAAAAACGTGCTAGCCATACAAAGAAGAGTGACGTTTATTTCCAAATGTCTTATATAGACACTGTTTTTAATAACTATTATTCATAGGCACATATACACTTAATGTGCTGTGACTTTGTGTGTGTGTGTATGCACTTGTGAGTGTGTGTATGTATGCACAAATGCTCAAGTGTACACGTGAAAGTCAGAGAGTTTGGGGTTGGGGAGGAAGTAGTCCTTTCTTCTTACCATGTAGGCTTAGAGATTAAGCTCAGTCATTGGCTTGGTAGAAAGCACCTTTACCTACTCAGTCACCCCTCCAGCCCCTTTGTACCTTAAATAGGTAAAAATAGATTGTTTTATTTTATTTTTATAGATTTGCAATTTCTGAAAAAAGAAACAGATCAAAAAGAAATAAAACCTTGTCTACTGTCTAGATGGACATGTGGTAAATTCAGGAGCATTAATCCCCAAAGAGGACCCAGCCTCTTCATCTTCATTGTGCTGTTTCTCACATGGATGATATGAGAAACCAGCAAAACCTCTAGAAATATGGCCTTAGAGCTTGTTCTCTGTCTATCTATCTATCTATCTATCTATCTATCTATCTATCTATCTATCTATCTATCTATCATCTATCTATCTATCATCTATCTATCTATCTATCTCCTTCCCCTCTCTCTCCCTCTCTGTCTGTCTCTCCCTTTCCCTCTCTCTTCCTCTGTCTCTATATATCTGTCTGTCTCTCTCTCTCTTTCCCTCTCTCCCCCTCTCTCCCCCCTCTCTCGTCCTCTCTCTCTCCCTCTCTGTCTGTCTGTCTGTCTCTCCCTTTCCCTCTCTCTCCCTCTGTCTCTATCTGTCTGTCTGTCTGTCTCTCTTTCTTTCCCTCTCTCTGTCTCTGTCTCTCTGCCTCTCTCTCTTTCTCTCTCTCCCTTTCTATCTGTCTGTCTGTCTCTCTCTTTCCCTCTCTCCCTCTCTGTCTCTGTCTGTCTCTCTGTCTCTGTCTCTGTCTCTATCTCTCTGTCTCTCTCTGTCTGTCTCTGTCTCTGTCTCTGTCTCTCTCTCTCTCTCTCTCTCTCACACACACACACACACACACACACACACACACATTTCTCTTGTTAATAAGTATGCTCCATGTGTCTCCATTATGAGGCATTGTGATGTCACAGACCCAATGTGACAGAAAATATCTCTGGTAACATGGGCCAAGCAGACCCTTTAGATATTTTTCTACAGTTCTATAAACATGGCTACCACAACCAAGGGTATCACTCTGAGGCCTGGGCCTGGTAAGATCCATGAGCATGACTCTATTCCAACACTGGTCTGGATGTTCTTGAGATACTGAAAGCAGAGGAGAGCACTCAGAGCTCAGTTTTGGCATGGAGGGAAGAAGGAAGTAGCAATTTTCATGCAGCTATTCCATCACTACAGCACTGAGCATAAAAGATTGATAAAGTAGAGACATACATAGAAGATATAAATACTGGGAAACATTTAAAGTCCACAGGTTATAAATTAAGTGCTTCCAATGACAGGTGGGCTTTTGTCAAAGAACGTGATAAAGTGTGGGGGAACATATCAACTTTATCCTTTACCTTATGTTGAAACTACTATATGTAGCTTCTTTCTGAAAATAATGTTTTATTCTTTGGAAGTCTCATGTTTACACAATGTATATTTGTCATAATTACCTTGAGCTGTCAACTTGACAAAACCCAGAGTCACTTGGGAAGAAGGAACCTCTGAAGAATTCCCTCCATCAGTTCATCCTATGGGCATATCTATAAGGTTTTATTAATTGTTAACTGCTGTAGGGAGAACCAGCCCACTATGGGTGGTGCCATTCTTGGGCAGGTGGACCTCTGCTGTAAAAGAAAAATAATTGAGTAGCCCAGGGGGAATCAAGACAGTTTGCGGCTTTCCTCCATGCTGTCTACTTCAGTTCCTGTTTCCACATCCCATTTCCCTCTCAGCTCCATGTCCTTTTTAGTGTTTTCTTTTTAATATTCCCCATTTATAAATTAGCACTACCCGTGTGTGTGTGTGTGTGTGTGTGTGTGTGTGTGTGTGTGTGTGTGTGTGTATTGGGTCATGAACAGCCTACCAGTGGCCAAGTCCCCAAGGAAGAGAGATTCTCCTTTCCGTGGCAGCCATCTGCTGACAATCTATTTTTCTATAGGTGTGGGACCTCTGTGGTCATTCCTCTCCTTTCCATCTACCAGTTCTTACCAGTTTTCTGTTTCCTCTTCTATGAAGTTTCCTGACCCTTACATTGATAACTCTCAGTTGAACACCGTGTCACCTTTATCTTGCAGAGTCTCTACGTTACCCACTACCCACTGCAAACAGAAGATTTTCATCTATCTCCTGTCTTAGCAGAGGTAAACCAAATAAGAAATAAGTAGTGGTCATTAGGATTGCCTAGCAACTTCTAGAAATATATCACTTATTTTGTATTGCTGTTTATTACATCGAATGCATTACCTAATTATACATATATGCATGTTGAGATCAGATAATCCTGCATTTGAATTTAGTTTATTGAAAAGTATTCTTCTCTGAGGCTCAGCTTTGTTATCAGGGAAAAAAAATGAGAATAAGTATCTTTGCCTTGAAATACACCCAAGAAGCTTAGAAAACAGAACACACACACACACACACACACACACACACACACACACACACACACACACGGTGGGGGATGGGGGTGGGAAACAGATCAAATAGCTATGCCAATACCGTGCTTTCATTTACACTACATTGATGATAAAGTCTTGGTGACTCGTACCTTCTAACCATGGTAAAGAGAACAGCACAGAGTATGGTAACACTGTAGGGCATTGGCTGTTGGGTTTTTAAAGCCCAAATTAAATTTGAATGACAAGTGTAGTCTTGAACCCAGATTTGTTTCATGATTAATACATTGCAGTTTCCTTTCCTTCATTCTTTGGGCATTAAATGAGTTTGATTTAATCTTAATGTCTAAATGGAAGAAAGTGAAATGATGATAACCTTTAATTACAATGCTATTTTCTAAATTAAGAAAAAAAGAATAAAAAAATCCCCTAGACCTTCTGGAAGGTCTTTAAAAATAATTTGCTTTCAATTAGCTCACTGCAGCTCTGAGCATGGTGTAGGCTAAGCTCTCTGTGTCCTGCCCAGAAACAAGCAGGGCTAATGCTCCTTTGCAGTTGTCTTCCCCCTAGGGACCACTCTAAATTCTGAAAACACAAACGCATTTTGCACGTGTGGGTGTTTAGTAGACGCTATTGATGATAATGGTGATGATTTCCTGAGAGCAAGGGTCTCTCATCAGAGGAATGTGTGGTTGTTGGAGGCTTTTGATTACTTCTTCTCTTGATCACTTAAAAATAGGCTGGATTTGCTCATCTGTTCAGGATGGTTAAAGGGTCACCTTCTCTAAAGGCAGAGGAAGCCCAGAATGACATCAAGGTCCCTTCTAATTTCAAGATTCTATAAAGCAGGATCATTTATTCGAAAGCAGCAGCTCTAAAGGTTAGTGCCTAGAAGATGGTGACCAGCTGCTTCCCTCACTGATTACAGAAAAGGAAGCATGTTTAAATTTGATCATGGGAGATTGAGGCAGTGAGGGAAGAATTTCCTAAAATCAAGGCTACGTCAAAACCAAGGGCAAAAGCAAGCCGGAAATGAAGTCAATTCGCTTTCCCAAGTATCTCTCTACCAAAAATGGAAGAGAACCCTGCCACAAGGACAACTACACCTACGTTCCATTTCTCTTCCTGTCTTCCCCCCGACATCAGTCTAGCCTCTCTTTAAGACAAGTTGCAGCTATGTGGCTTAAACATAGGGATTTCTGGTAAGCCTAGAACTGTCTTCTGACATCTAGAAGTCTAGAACCATAATTCCTATTTTTCATTTGTTAGAAGTTACCCAAAACTTGGTTTTATCAGCACAGATTCTCTAGAAGGTGATCTCATGCTCTCATGTTTCTTTGCCTGCAGCTCAACACTGACCATATGTTATGAATTGTACCATTTATTGAATTCATATGTACATAGTAGACAGTGACACGTCATACTGAAGCCACTGCTCTCCTCAACCAAACTTCCATACAGAGTTAAATTATACCAATTAGTAATTTAAATAGTGGTTTTGCTTGAAATTTTTCATAATTTTACTCTGGAAATATTTAAGAGAAAAAAATCAATTATTGTGAAATTATACAATTGTATTGTTAAAGAATACTCTCAGGTTATGTCAGCAGATGACTCCATATTAAGATAGTGAATACTTAATAATCACTAAAAATTGGTGATTATAAGATATGAAACACAATAGCAAGTAATAATATATAAAATCCCTTTCAAGAGTTGATTATTTGATTATTTTCTCCATGCTGAAAACCCAAAAAAATCTACATGATCAAAACTATGTAAAATATCATTCATACTCATATTCTAGAAACTACACACATTTACTATCACAATAATTGTATTCATGCACTTATTGTGATATGAAATTCTTTATAAAAATAAGGATGACATATTATCATTAAGATACAACACAACATTCTCCCATGTAAAGTCAATATTAGAAAACTCATGCACAGAATAATCTTTGAGATGCTGCAGCACTCATGGATGATCGAGTCTGGGTCCTCACACATGTGAGCATCAGATCTTCCACTGAGCTACACCCAGCATAGGCTCCTACATTTTAACCACAAGCAAACCCTGCATGTGATTTGAATGGACACAGGCTTCAGTGATACTTAAATGTGGCTGTTTTTGTTGATTGACAGACACTGTCACAGGTAAACTGAAGTGAATGTGCCTTACCTCATCACCAAGAAGGACCAGGTGTGTGGATTCCAGGGTGTGCTCTCACTCTCAAAGGTAAGCTGTCCTCAGGTTCCCACAGGACTCTACTTCTTCCAGGCAACGTGTCCCTGTCCTATATTTTAAAAAGGAAGTTTTCCTGGCATGCCATATGGCACAGTCCTTGCAGAAGCTACTAGGATGATCATAGCTGGCTTTGGGATTTGTGGATTTACCTGATGGATTGTAGGACATTATACATAGTTATTCTGTGGAGGATGTCAAGAAGACAGAGGAAGTTGAGAGGAGATAACCAATAGAGTCTAAAATATGCATAAACCCCAAATACACATCTTCTTATTTTACTCCTAAGCCACACCATAACAGAAATGTCACCCTGAGTGCATGGCTTATACTGAAATACCAAAATACTTAAAAAAGTCGTAGGCATCACAAAGACACTCCTCTACTAATAATTCACAAAAAAGAACAGATCAGCTTCTCTACATGCATTTACTTAGCAGCACCCAGATGGAAGTTGCTTTTAAATTATGCCTGAATTTTCAAACCAGTGTGTCCACATGCACTTACACATTTTGGATATGTTTGCACCGAAGAGCAAAAATCTTGAGTTAAATCTTAATAAAAGTCATATTTTTATTATTTACATGTAAACAGTTAAGTGGAAAATAACCCCTTAATAACAAAAGCATTCTTGCCTTTGGATGTTTGTCTAAAAAATGGGCTCTTAAATTTTAATACTTCCATTATTTAATCATATGTTGCCACCGTAAGATTGTCACTTTTTAAAACCTGATTAAAGATAATTTTCCTCTTTTTTATAATAAAAACGGTATTGTTTTATATCTATGAGTGTTTTGCTTGCATGTATATAGGGACACCATATGTGTGTCTGGTGTCTTCAAAGGTTAGAAGTCTTCAGATCTCCTGGAACTAGAGCTAAGGATATTTGTAGGCTACCATGAAGATTTTAAGAGTCTATCTTGGGTTCTCTCCAGGAACAAAAAGTGTCATATTTCCAGCCTAATCATTTGGTACTTAATGCACTATATTCCAGTATTTTTTTCTCTAAAACCAAGTAAAACAGGTTGTTTATAGGACATTCAAATTTGAATGAACTCACAGTGTAGCTGTGAGGTGACTGGCTTTAGTGTTTCCTTTGAGGTTTCAACAGTATTAGTTTCTCTCATCTGTGTATTAAAATACATGGGAAGAAAAGGGAGTACTGAATCAAGAAAAGAACACTGGTGGTTTTGCTACTTTCAAACACTTGTAGTTGTCATTAGGAAATGCATAAAGCTTATTTTTTTTACCTGAATGAGGGATAATGCAAACAAAAATGATAGGAAATTTAAGAGTACAATAACAGAGTTTTTTAAAGATTATTTTTTAATTAATTATGAGTATGTGTGTTTATCTGTGGGTATGTGCATACATAGATGCAGTACCCCCAGAAGCCAGAGGAGGGCATCAGATTCCCTGACACTAGAGGTACGGACAATTGTAAGCCACCTAATATGGAAATAACACTTGGGGCCTCTGCAAGAGCATTATGGGTTCCTAACCAATGAGCTATGTCTCCAGCTCCCTAATAGAAGCATTACAGAAAGAAAAGTTTGCGTGGCTCACCGTTTTAGAGACATTTCAGCCCATCATGGCAGGGAAGGTGGACAGAGTAGCTCTGTAGTGTGACATCATGTTTGTTAATCTTTCCTTATATGAGCTAGATCACAGGAAGCAGAGAAAACTGAGTTCAAACCAGAGGCAAGCACAACTTTCTTCATCTGTCCCTGATTACCAACTTCTTTCAGTCAGTGCCCTTGTCCCAAAAAGTTCTACATATCCCAACACAGTACCACCATCTGAAGGTCAGGTGTCCAAACACATGAGGCTATGGGGAACCTTTTGCCCTCAGGTCTTAACACAGGGTATTCTTAAAAGAACTAAGAATTTTAGTTAAATGTGTGCATAAATATAACAAAAGTTACAAATACATATATCAGGAATTCAAAAAGCTGTAGGAGAAAAATTACATAGTAAATTGTGATTATAGTCAGATGTTACACATGCTCTTTATTGGGAATTTATGCAACAATTAGATACTAAAACTTGATGGGGATTTAGAAAGTTTGAATAGTATTGGAAATATTAATATAACTCCCATACGCCCTATGGGATATCGAGAAATGGTAGAACATACACTATCACATACAAATATATATAGCAATTCACAGAACACTAATCCATGTAGATCACTCTCACTCATAAAATAAGTCTTGATAAATGGCAAAGAATTAAAGGAATTTGAATTATGTTTGCTTAGTACAATGATATAATAGGCTTGATAACATTATCTAGAATACTTCCAATATTATAAAGCAAATAATTAATTTTAAATAAACTATATGTAAAAGTTGATATCACAAAGAGAAGGTGAAGATAAACAAAAGTGAATGATATTGACAATAAGCCAACTAAAAAACACAAGGATGGAACTTGAAGGTTGCACCTGAATCACTTAAAAGAGGCAGAACTTTTAATGGAGCCTCTGAAAATAAGCAGTGAGAACCTGAGCCTCCATATCAAAGGGTATTTAAATTCAAACTAAAGAAAACAATACTGATTGACTTCTCAATGTCAAAAATACACTAATCACTAAAGAATGTTAAGAGTGTTTGTAAATGAGCCAATCAATAACCAACTACAGGAGCCTGCCATAGTGACATACCAAATTTAACATTTAAATTTTTTCATGCAATAGCATGTTTTCCCTTCCCTCAACTATTCCCAGATCCTCCCCATACATCTATCCACCTAACTTTATGCTCTCTCTTTTAAAAAGAAACAAAAACTAAAAAACAAATATCAAGACCAACGAAGAAAAACAATAAGACAAAAAAGAATATCAAAATAAAACAAAACAAAAACTACCCACAATACAAAACAGATCATTTTGTGTTGGCCATGGGCCTTCCCTCGAGTGTGATTATATATCCAGTGTTAGCCCACTGAAGAAAACTAATTTTTATTTTTCCTCCAGGTATCATTTGCAATAGCTTCTTGGTTGAGGGCATAACTTTGTGTCCACTTCCTGTTCTAAGTGCTGGGGTTCTGCCTGGTTTGGGCTTGTATAGGTTTTGTGTACGCTGACAGTCTCTGTGAGTTGTTATGGGTATCAGTCATGTTGTATCTGGAAAATGCTGTTTCCTTTCAGTCATCTAATACCTCTGGCTCAAAAGTAACTATCAATATTTGTATCAATAAGCTACAAACCCTGCTCCTACATCAGTAGCCTGCCGGAAAAATATACTCATACAATAATGGCACGAGTGTTATTGGAGTAATCAACCAAATTTAAAATTGGATTTAAGGTTGGTTCACTCCATGACATAGAACCCATATACAATAGTGATAAAATATCTGAAACTAGATAAGTCATGGACCCTAAGAGAAAATTTATTACTATTATTCTGCTAAAGCAACAAAGCAATAAAGTGATTCCTAATGACATATTGCTATACCCATTGATCAGGGCATGGCTCAAACCTCATCAGAAAAAGTGTTTCTTGCAGTAGATTTTGGAACACTCAACCCTAAATAAAAATGTCTATAAAACTCCTTCCTTCAAGGCTTGAGGATCCAATCAGAATCTTTAAAGTAGCAGAGAGTCTTCTGCTCAGGAAAAAAGCAGCTTCTGGAACTCCACTCACAACCCCCTACCCTGCTGGTCCTCTACCTCTGTTTAAAAGTAAAAGCAAGCTCAACTTGATTTGATTAAATCTTGAGCCTTCTCATGGACAGAAGCTCACAGTCTCTCCTGTTCTATAATAAGCATCCAAAAGCCAGTGCTTCACAGTCGTGAAGAAATGGAACAGGCTGCAAATGTACCAACATGTTTAATTCAAGGGGAGAAGGGGAACAGGTGCCTCCTCGTACACCACAGAGGTCATCTGGCTCTCCACTATCAGCAACAAAGCTGATGTATTAATGTCCATCTATGTTTTCTGATTCAAAGAAATGGAAGAGTTCTGATGTTAAGCCCAGCAGGAGCTAATCCATGCAGAGCTTGACCCCTCTGCTCCAGAATTCTCTCGGCCTCTTTCATCTTGGCCCTCTGCCCCTCCATTCCAACTTCACTGATACTGCCTGACTCACACAAAGTTCCCTATGTCTTCTTCTGCTGTTTCTATTTGAACCGTCTAGAAAGGCTACTCATTATATAGGTGCAGAGGAGGATCAGAGGAGACCAAAGATACAGAAACTTGCACTTCATTGATGCTGTTGGCTTTATGAGCACCCTCCCAAGCTGTAGTCAGGACACAAATATCAGCTGTAGAGCTGGAGAAGGGAGGCTGTTCATGCTGTGGCTTCCTCTGTGTCTTCAAATTACCACCCTGCCACGGAGGCTGGTTTTCTTTTAAAAACCGCTTATGTTCTACCTGCAAGTGCTGCAATTGTAAATGACCTGGACTCAGAGAGCCTGTGATGTGGGGACACGCTGTGCAAATGGTCTTTGGAAGCCATGAGCCATCTCCAGAGGGGCAGCTGCAGCAATCTTAGTGATATCTGAAAAGCCAGTCAGTATCCTGGAACTGCAAAAAGTTAATGCCAACCAAGCATGATGGCATTCAAACACCAATATTGAGAAAAAGTTTCCTAATTATGGAACATGCATTCATGATCTCAGGACAAACTTCAGTGTGTCCAGGAACAATGATTCTTAAAGCATCCTGCAAGTTACCTTCTTGGTGTCCCCAGCACATGAGCGATATAGGCTCAATAACAGAAGTGAATGTACTCTTCCTTCAAGAGAAGAGGTCAGGAGGTTGAGGTCTTGTTAATATTGATTTATTTAATTGTTTATTAGTGTCATCTTAGTGGAAAGGATAAAGCAAAAAAAAGACGTGTATATTGACAATGCAAAAGATAATATTTAGCTAATATAGATTATCACATGCAGAGAATAGGGTCACATGTGAGTGTTTAACCACCCGTTTCTTGTTTGAGAGTTAAAAGCATGGCAATGTTCAAAACAGCATAGCAAAGATTTTGGTGAA